AGCTACCACATGTCCATGTGTCAGGTGGCAGAAGGGATGCCTGGGGTATCATTTCGGAAGGGATCAGGTTTGGATTTAATCGGCCGCTCTCCATGATGTCACCAGTCCATCCAAAGGAGGGATCTCAACAGTCAGCAGGGCAGACAGGACAATTCAACGTCACCTGATAATGTTCAGGACATCGTGCTGAAGGCTTAAAGGTGAAACGATGCCTCTTCTTCTCCTCTACCCCACGTGACCCAACAGTAGACAGGGGTATGGAAGGCCAAGTGCGGTAAGCAAGGCAGGTGCCTTCAGAAAGGGACAGCCAACCAACTGGTCTGCTCGGAGGCCTTAGCTGATGCTGCAGCAAGAGAAAGATACAGAAACCAGCAGAGAAGAGTGAAGGGGCATCTGATCTGTGAGGCAAAGGAAGTTGCAAAGATGCCCTAGAAGAGAAGGGGAAGAGAGTGACCAACGCTGAATCGGGGTGCCCTGGAGCCCGTGAGAGTGCACCGGTGTCCAGTGAGACCAAGATGAAGGGGGGACCACACCACCAGGTGATTGTCAGGGTGAGCAGAGGACTGTTGGACAGTGATGTCAGGGAAGGGCACCCCTCCGTGAGCTAAGGACAGGGAGACGGGGGATGGAGAGGACAAGAGTTAGTATTGGAGATACTTGGGAGGCTGAGGCTGGTGAAGCGAGAATGGGCCCCACGGAAGGGATGTGCTTAGGGGCTGAGGACAGTTAGCGTGCTTGTGTGTCCAAGAAAAGGTGGTGTGGTTGATATATTGTGCACCCCAGTAAACTTATCTGGGGGTCAGAGAACAGAACAGCCACTATATTAACCATAGAGGATAGGCAGTGGTAGCACACGCCTTTAATCCTAGCATTCCAGAGGCAGAGATCCATCCGGATCTCTGTGAGTTCAAGGCCACACTGGAAACAGCCAGGGGTGGTGACGCACGCCTTTAATCCTAGGACTTGAGATCCCTAGTCTTGCTTGGGAAAAACACACGCCTTTAAACCAAGGAAGTGATGGCAGGAAGCAGAAAGTTATATAAGGTGCGAGAACCAGGAACCAGGCTTTTAAGCTTTTAGGCTTTTAGCAGCAATTCAACTGAGATCCATTTGGGTAAGGACTCAGAGGCTTCCAGTCTAAGGAAACAGATTCAGCTGAGAAGTTGGCAAGGTGAGGTTGGCAGTGGCCTGTTCTGTTTCTCTGATCTTTCAGAATTTAGCCCAATAGTTGACACTGAGTTTTTTTATTAATAAGACCATTTAAGATTCATGTTCCAGAAAGGTGACGGGGTTACAGGGGAGAATATGTTCCTGGTGGGACAAGATTCCAGGGCAGTAAGAGAGACTAGAGGAACCGCAGAACACATTCGCAGTGGGAAGTTGGAAAGACCCTGGAGAGACAGGAGGAAGGAGAGAAAAAAAGGAACCACTGCAGTCATCTGGAGATAGAGAAGCAAATGCAGAAAGAACTTCCAACTGGTCCCTTAACTTTGCCAAATGATCTCCAAAGGAGCTCTTGTCCCCATCTAAACAGCGTAAGGCTGTCCTAAATGACCGTCTTCTGGAAGAAGGTTGTCTTAGTCACTGTTCTATTGCTGTGAAGAGACACTATGGCCAAGGCAGCTCTTGTAAAAGAAAACATTCAATCGAGGGCTTGCTTCCGGTTTCAGAGGTTTGGTCCATTATCATCACAGCAGGGAGGGTGTCTGCTGATAGAAAGGCTCTGCATGTTTTATGGTGGTGGTGTTTTCTCAGATACACATGTATATATATTTCATTTTATGACGTGTAGCTCAGTAAAGTCGATCAAGTAAAAAGAGAAGGCTCCGAGAACCTTTAGCCAAATAGGGAAAGTTCAAACCTGGCCATGGTTTTCTTATCTTCAATAGCTTGTCTTCTTCTTCCTAGAAGCGTTTTAATCACGAGGCACCCTGAGCCAACAGACTGCAGCTTCCATCAGCCAGTAGAGGGAACTCTTTCTCAAATGGAAGTTTCACCAGCCTTCTAACCTGCCAGGTTCATCTGGAAGCTGTTCAGAGGTGCTGGGCCTGGCAATCAACGGGGAGGCGTCTCACTGTGCTGTGTAACGGACACAAAGGAATGCCATGCCTAGATGCTGGATGCCAGGCCTACAGGCTAGATACTATAGCAGCCGGCCTCTGGGGAAACCTGCTAAGAAACCTGCTGAATCAGCACTGGGCAGCCAGGCAATGGACCCTTTTCTCTGCCACGGCTCTCTTCCCATTGATAGTCATCCCTAGCACCCCCAGGGAGGTGGTCTGGCTGGTTTCATGTGTCCCAATTTGTAGCATTTTTCCCAGCATTCAGTGAGCTCTGGTCATGTTCTCTCTAGCAACATCAAGTTCCACTCTTGGAGGCTGTGGTGTGCCTTACATATCTGCTATTCTCATATTGTTAGGCTTCTGTTTTGCTAGCCAAAACCTGGTTATCAAAAATCTCTGATGCAGTCCATGGTGTGTCCAGATTCAGCTCGGATTGATATACTTCCCTGTGTACTGATGAGCTTCTGCTTTTCCCTCGAGACTAGCCCTGGCCATCACTGCTGAAGAAAGACTCAATAGATGCCTGCTGAGTGCACGCAGTATGCCCTGATCTGAGGGGTAGTTAAGAGTGAGGTATGTACCAGGGTGATGCCAATCAATTTATAAATTTCTAAAGTAGGTGAATGATTTCCATGCTTTGAAAGTTTTATGTTCCATCAATCTTTTCTTTTCTTTTTATATTCTGGCTCCAATTTCACGCCTCCTGAAAATGTCACAGAGTACATATTTGATTTTTAATGAAAAATAAATAAAGTCTGCCCATTGGGTATCTTTTGTGAATTTTCCAAATCTTCTGAGGCAATGAGAAACGCCTGTCTGTGTGGGAAACACGCAAATAAATGTGGGAATTCTGCTACAGCTTGGAAAACACTTAGGAGACAGATTGACAAGTGGCCTGATTAATGAAAGAATCCTAGTGCAGCCATCATGAGGAGACCCCAGATGTGGTGACTTAGGGACAGAATTTGAACCTTTGGGAATCGGTAGTTCAGGGTGAGCCATATAATCAACCAAAACCAGCTCATAACCACCATGGCTGCCTCCCCATGCAGGCAGCTTTGACCTGTCACCCCACCTGTGTCAGAAACACTGTGGAAGTCGGGTTATCACACCCCAAACTAGTCTTATCTCATGGTACAAAGAGGGGAGCTAAGGGCAGGCTTCTGGCAGCGCTGCTTCTCTATGGGCATCTCGGAAGGCCTTTTAAAGTCTTTCAAGTCAACGGTGCATTGACCAGGTATGTGGAGTGTTTAATCTAACCAGTTCCAAAGCCTGGTTTCCCAAGGCAGATGTGTCTTCACAGTTACCGCAAAAGGTTTAGGTAAGAATGAGGGAGTGGAGGTGGTCTTGATCAAAACACTGTGTGCATGTACCAAATTCTCAAATAGTAAAAAGGGAAAAAAATTCAGTTGCATTTTAGAAAGCCTTGGAACCCTCAAAATGATCCCCATGGGCGATCTTTACTTACATGTATTAAAACTGAATGTATGCTTTATGGCACTTCAAGGAGGCATGAAGCAGGAGCAGAAATGTCTAAAAGGAAAATGAATGATAGGGTATGAAATTTTCAAAGTGCGGGAATCATCCACATTATAGGAAAGTGTGTAAGTCAGTTCACATTACCCTAGTATGTACCACACTTCTAATAACCCCAAATATGGACATAAAAATCATTACACATGGACTGGCTAGACCAATCAGTGGGCAAAGGTGCTTGCCACCAACAACAATGTGAATGTGCTTAATGTCATTGAATTGCATACTTGAAATGGGAAAAAAAATAGAAATTTCAGCTTATATATTTCACCACAGGTAAAAAAAACGTAAAGACTGATAACAAAAAATATGACATCATGTTTATGTTGTGGATTGGAAACTATTCTAAATGCTTTCCACACGCTGCTTGAATTGAACTCTAGCAATCCTATGAAATAGGTGCTATTATCCCCAGATGAGAAAGGGAGAGCCAGAGAAGCTGTGCACCTTCCTAGAAATGAAGAAAGTAGCCGAGCTGGAAGAACAAACCCTCCAGGCCAGGCTCCAGGGTCAGTGCTCTATACCCGCACTCACTCCCTGCTGGCTGGAAGACTGAATGAATCGGATGAAGGAGAGGCCCATCCAGACCTCCCCTCCACTGGCCACACTTGTAGACCCAGGACTCAGCCTTGGGCCAGGGCTGCCTCCTCCTGACCTTTGCTGCTGTTACAGAGCGCAGCCGTGGACATGGAATCCCAGATACCAATCCCATCCGCATAAAAAGACATGAGATCTATGCCTCTGACAGGGGGACATTCTTTAGGAAAGGGCCTGTGGGATTGTGTGCCCTTTATAAAGTTATCTGGCGATTACTTACCCCAAGTCCTTTGAAGTTTAAATAAAACGGAATAGCTAATGCTGTGATGAATTATTCACTAAAATACTTGCACAATCCAGGTTTGAGGAAAGTACTCAGACCGAAGATTTCAAGTGTTAATGTTTTACCAGTGTGCATGCCCTGAGTTTTGACATACTAGTGTATCAGTTTAGCGCATTGTTAATAGTATTCTGGCTTTGGCTTACTTTTTTAATCTCTCTGTCTCTCAGTCTTTCTCTGTGTGTGTCTCTGTCTGTGTATCTCTTTCTCTGTGTGTCTGTCTCTCCCCTCTCTGTCTCTCCTCTGTCTTTCTCTATCTCTTTCTGTGTGTTTCTGTCTCTCTATATATGTGTCTCTGTGTGTGAGTGTCTGTCTGTCTCCTCTCTCTCCTTCTGTCTCTCTGTCTGTCTCTGTCTCTGTCTGCTTGTCTGTCTGTCTCTCTCTCCCTCCATAACAAGTGCCTTGTTTTAGTACTTATTGAGAGCTTACAACAGTATTTAACCCCCACATCCCCATTCCACACCTAAGGAAACCACTTGGAGTTTAAATGACCTGCTCGACATCAACAGAAAAATGCAGAGAGCTGCTTCACACAGACAATCTGACAAGGATGTTTTATTTAACCTAGACCGTGGTCTTGGGGTGTCCTATTCCACGCTCTGTGAGGCCCATTTTCTTCATCTGTATGTGTGTGTGGCAGGGTGTCCAGATGTGTGAACTTCATTCCAGCTTCAGCGTCATCTATGTCCTTGTCCCCACACTCAACTGATCCTCTACCGGGGCTTCCCAGGTGGGTGTCCATTTACAGGATTAGGTGAATTCTGGTGCCATCCATGCTGTTGGACTGGAAACAGCTGAAACAGGCAACACTGATAGGACCCTCCTTCTGTCCTGCCCCCCAATTCCTGCCCTGCTTCTTCCACAGCACCCAGCCCCTAGCTGCCTAGGAATCCCCACTATCTCAATAAAGCCTCCCCAGTTTTGCACAGCTCAATAAGGGGATGCAACAGAGGAGGAAGAGAGGGAAAAGGAGGGGGAGAGGAGAAGCTCCTTGTTGGTATTCTCATCACATTCTCCTTTCTTCCTCTGGGGTCACACGGTTTCTTCTCACATGCCTAACAAGCTTAAGCCTGTACCATGAATATTTAACCACTAAGCCCAGATGCCAACAAACAGAACCCTGATTAGAATCACTTTCTAAGGTCTGTAGTTTATTCCCACCATGGCTGATACCTAAATACCATCTCAAAGTCACTCAGTGGAAACTGGAGCCTAAAGTACTGACCGTTCATTTGCTCATGCAGGCGATGACTAAGAACAAGGTCTCCCCTAAGACACTTAGCTATTACTAAGAAAACTATTACTAGTTTTCCTCTTTTCTTTCTAAAATTGTGTGTATACATGTGTGTGCATGTGTGCATACATGTGTATGTAACGTTTGTGCATGTGTGTACAGATGCATGCACTCCTGCAGGTGAACAGAGAACAGAGGACACTCAGTGTCCTCCTCTGTCACTCTCCACCTTACTCCCCGGAGGCAGGTCTCTCACTGAACGTGGAGCCAGGCTGGCAGCCAGCAAACCCAGCGAATCATTCCCTCTCTCCCTTCTTCTTACCCCCTCACCCTGTACCGGAGGCTTAGGGGGGTGTGGGCACAGGGCACTTGGAGGAAGTGTGTCACTGTGAGGTTGGACTTTGAGATATTTTTCTCAAGTTTCACTCAATGTGACAGTCAGTTGACTTCCACTTGCTTCTGAGTCAAGATGAGGACTCTTAGCTCCAGCACCACATCTGCCTGCATGCTGCCATGCTCCCCATCATAATGATAATGGGCTGAACCTCGGAAACTGTAAGTGAGCCATCCCAATTAAATGTTTTCTTATAAGAGTTATTATGGTCATGGTGTCTTTTCACAGTAATTAAAAACCCAAACTAAGACAATAAGAAGAAAGAAAGAAAGAAAGAAAGAAAGAAAGAAAGAAAGAAAGAAAGAAAGAAAGGAAGGAAGGAAGGAAGGAAGGAAGGAAGGAAGGAAGGAAGGAA